ATAGAGCGCTCAGGCGGCTGCAGAATTTAAAGGGCCGGCGATGGGGGCGCAGGGCGCCCCCTCCTATATGGCGCCATTGGCGGCTGCCTAGTTCGCCTTATAGGAAGCGCCGGCCCTGCTGGTAACTATACTATTTATTCTGTTAAGTTCAGCAGCTACTTCTGGGATCCCCTTGTTTCATGGGTCTCCGTCATTCAACTGCTTTTTCTTCTTTCCTGCTTTTGCATTGATTTTTGAATATAGAAATTATACATTTATTATACTAATGCAAATTAATGTGTTTTTTTGGGGGTTTTTTTGTGCTCTTGTACTTTTAGGTATTGAGAGTTTTGGACCCAATTGCCTGTACTGAAACTTCACCGGACATTTCGTTCCCGGAGTCCCCATCTTCATCCATTTTGGCTGCAAAGAAAAATATTGGACGATTTCATCCATACACAAGATACGAAAACATAACTTTCAATTGCTGCAATAAATGCAGCGGTGAATTAATTGTCTTGTGAGGTCATAAGGAATCCTAATCATTCCTTAACATCAGTGTTTTCAGTGGTATGAGTATGCACAATTTACAGAGCGGAGGACTTCATCTGAATCTCTTTCTTAAAACGCCTGACCTCATGATAAAGTGACTAAAAAGTACATTGTTTGAATTAATATTGACTTTCAAAGTCTGCAAAGCATTATCAGGAAATTTACATTTTAGTTTCAGCAGAATGCCACTTTAAATATTTGAATCTGTGGAACTGGCAAATTACTTTTACAGTTTCACTTCTTTCAGGATTTGTTACAGTATTTTTGAGGAGAAAGTGTAAATGCTATTTAAATAGGAACATTTCTATAAAAAAAAAAAAAAGTCCCCGTTCTATGTATTGATTATTTTTGGCTATTATTTTTCTGTTCTTTTCACACTAACTTTCATTATTATCACGTTTTATTGAAACATGAAAACAGGGATGTGCAATTCCTATTGCCTGATGCCATGAACATGTAGTTCCAGGCACAGGGCAGTCAGGATTTTTTTTTATTACTTTAGCCTTGCCGTGAGCATGCAGCAAGGCTACTGCATAATCTCTAATGGCTTTTTATCAAATGTGTCTCGGTCACGTTCTTGTTGATTCATATAATTTGCTCAAATAAGTCTGTTAATCTGGATTTTCCTCTTCAGTTTTTGTTGTGAGGCAAGTCAAAGTCCTAAACCCACACCAGCACCTTGGAATAATACTTATTAGAATTTATATTGGGGGAAAATACATTTTGTGGTAATGGGCTAAAAAAAGAGGCCTACTCCTCAGGTAAAATAAAATGCATAAATAAAAATATTAAAACCCCAGAGTAGCTACTTTTATTCTATCAATAAAATTAAAATCCATAAAAAATGTAATATCATACAGTTAAAACTCCTTTGGATTTTCTTGTTTTGTATATTTTGCAAGGAGAATTTTCACAGTTGCACAATTATATTCAATGATGGTAAGGTGTGTCTTTTTGCTGATGATACTAAAATATGTAACAGGGTTGATGTTCCAGGAGGGATAAGCCAAAGGACAAATGATTTAGGTAAACTAGAAAAATGGTCAGAGTTGTGGCAACTGACATTTAATGTGGATAAGTGCAAGATAATGCATCTTGGACGTAAAAACCCAAGGGCAGAGTACAGAATATTTGATAGAGTCCTAACCGCAACATCTGAGGAAAGGGATTTAGGGATGATTATTTCTGATGACTTAAAGGTAGGCAGTGTAATAGAGCAGCAGGAAATGCTAGCAGAATGCTTGGTTATATAGGAAGAGGTATTAGCAGTAGAAAGAGGTTGTACAGAACACTGGTGAGACCTCACTTGGAGTATTGTACACAGTACTGGAGACCGTATCTTCACAAGGATATTGATACTTTAGAGAGGGTTCAGAGAAGGGCTACTAAACGGGTTCATGGATTGCAGGATAAAACTTACCAGGAAAGGTAAAAGGAACTTAACATGTGTAGCTTGGAGGAAAGACGAGAAAGAGGGGATATGATAGAAACATTTAAATACATAAAGGGAATCAACACAGTAAAGGAGGAGACTATATTTATAAGAAGAAAAACTACCACAACAAGAGGACATAGTCTTAAATTAGAGGGATAAAGGTTTAAAAATAATATCAGGAAGTATTACTTTACTGAGAGGGTAGTGGATGCATGGAATAGTCTTCCAGCTGAAGTGGTAGAGGTTAACACAGTAAAGGAGTTTAAGCATGCATGGGATATGCATAAGGCTATCCTAACTGTAAGATAAGGCCAGGGACTAATGAAATTATTTTTAAAAATTGGGCAGACTAGATGGGTTCTTATCTGCCCTCACATTCTATAAGTGAAAGGCTTGCAGAAATGTACCCGCATTAGAGGCAGGGGTAAGTTAAGTCTTTGTTGTTTGTGAACAAAGACAGACAGACAACAAAAATTCTGAGATTGGAAAGTCCATGTAACAGTCTAAAACAATTCACTGTTTGTACTAAGAGTAGAAGGGAGGGATATTTAAAAATAATCAAAATTATGAGTTTCAATGTTTGGGATAACTCTATTCTCCACAATTGAATGTGAAGCAGTAAGGTGATCTGGTTGCATTTATATACGTTGTTACGTTCATGCAATGGCTTGTTCACTCAGAATCTTTGGCAAATTCCATGCTAACAGCAATACATTGATAGGACAGGGCTCTATATGTCTAATTGCCATTCAAATCATTCTCCAGTTCATCAAAATGTTTCAATGGACACTAAAGGTACCCAGACCACTGAGCTCATTGAAGTTATCGGTGTGCAGTAACCCTGTCCCCTTTCCCCTGCAATGGTAATTATTCCAGTTTCTGATAAATTGCAATAATTACCTTGCAAGGTTAAGACTGCCTCTAGTGGCGGTCATTCAGGCAGCTGCTAGAGGCACCTTCTGGTAATTAGGCGACTTTTGGTCATCCAGTGTCAGTCATTTCCCCATAGGAAAGCATTGCAGCAATGTTTTCCTATAGGGGTAGGCCTAATGCGCTCGCTGTGTTTAGTTTTACTTGCAAGCTTTTGTGTGGAACGGTATTAAATGCCTTGTAGATCACATCTATTGGAACATGATCTATTTATTATTTCTACTAACGTCTTCACAGAATGCAATTACGTTAGTTTAGCATGACCTGTCTTTCATAAAGCCATTTTGATTCTTGCTAATGATTTTTTTTTTCAAAATGAATTCTTAAATATTATCCCTCAACAGCCCTTCAATAATTTCCCGACCATAGATGTTAAGCTTACAGGTATGTAGTTATTGGGTTGAGCTTTTGAACCCTTTTTAAATGTAGGCACCACATCTGCTCTTCTCCAATCCTCTGGTACAATTCCTGAAAGAAAAGAATTCTGAAAAATTAAAAACAGTGGTATGGATATTTCTACAGTAAGCTCCTTAAGCACCCGTGGGTGAATACCATCTGGCCTCTGGGCAGTGGTGTATCCTGGCTTTGTGCTGCCCTAGGCAGGACAGAACTCAGGCGCCCCCCGCGCCACCCCTACCCAACCCTTCCCCCCGCCCCACCTTCTAAATACACACACACAGGCAGACACACACACACACACAGTCAGACTCCAACACACAGTCAGACACACACACACACACACACTCACATTAACACTTTTTTTAACCCCCTCAGCCTCCTTACCTTTGGGAAATCTTGGGGGGGGGGGTTCTCTCTCTCCCTGGTGATCCAGTGGCTGCTGGGCTGGGCGGGAGGCGCTGGCTGATGGGCGGGCGGCTGGCGAGGGAGCTCTTCCCGCCGGGTTGATGACGTCATATTCCGGCTCCCAGCCTCACTCTGCGGCGAGCGAGGGAGCTGAGCAGACCGCTCAGAGGAAAAGCTCCCTCGCCAGCCGCCTGCCAGCCCGGCATGTCTGTTAGCCGCGAGGCTAACTAGGCATTTGCCCTGGGCATTTGGGGGCGGCGTTTTTGCCGCCCCCTGTAAAATGCCGCCCAAGGCAAATGCCTTGTTTGCCTCGCGGCTAATACGTCCCTGGCTCTGGGGCTGTTTGCAGCAGGGATTTGCAAATCTGCAACCATAGCTTCATCTTCCCTATATACGAAAGAAAAATAATTATTTAGAATTTCTGCCTTTTTCTGACACCTGGGTATTTATTAGCTCTTCAGTGGAAGTGGCCATCCTGGGAGTATTGAAGGAAGCTGGCTAAGGGAGCAGTTTTTGTTGACCATCTTTATTTTTGATTTTGTCGTTTGAGCAAAAGTAAACATGTATCAATACGGTATATAGAAGTAGTACAGTGTCGACATCCATATATGTTACAATGACAATAATGAGTGCAAATATGTTGTATCATTCTAACAGTGGTGCATGCAGAAGTTTAAATAAGCAGTGTTAAAGTTATTGGCCTGACATGAACCATAATGATGTAAAACTAAGTCACAGTTTGTGTTTCATTTGTATAAGGTATTTGCAAGCAACAATAATCATGGACATGGGGCTCGTCCAAGGTATTATATGTCAGCCTGTTTCTAGTGAGCCAAGCTATGTTGTTCTCCTGTTTTCCCTGTCCTGTTGGTGGTCTCCTCATAGGAGTATGTAATCTATGTACTTAAGTGTCGTAGGGTGTAGTGTGCGGGGAGTGGCCCTGGTATGGCTATTCCTATTGGGGCGGTGACGTGTGTTGGGAAATAGTTCTGTGTTGTTCCATGGGGCAGGCTGGGTCTGTCTCATTGTTCTCTGGGTATCTAGTTTGACGTTGCTGGGTTACCGTTTAAAGTAATGACATGCAACTAGGAGTCTATGAGATGTGGTATTGATAAAGGGCTTATGGCTGACGCATCTTATGGGCTTCTAGGTTGTCTGGGCCAAGTCGTGGAGCAGGTCTCAGCCACCACCAATGCGATCCATGTGCATCCAACTTTCCTTTTACACCTGTCCCGCATAGGTCACTCCTGTGTTCACTCCCTGGGCCCGTTTGAATAGTTACTGTTAGGTACTTGTGCCCAGCATGGGCAAGGGTTTGTATAGAGGGGTGACCCACTAGGTGAGAGCGCGAGATGCTTGGGGGTGGGTAGAGAGAAGGGATGAGAGATATGGGGGGGGGGGGAATTGTGTCCCACCTCGTATGCCAAGATGATCAACCACGGGGTCCAGGTCTGAATGCATCTTTCCGAACGTCCTTCCAATGCTGCCGTTAGTGTTTCCATGGTATAAATCTCACCAACTCTGTAGACCCATTGCTGGAAGGTAGGCTTCCCCCTCTGCTTCCATAATGCCGGTATCAGTGATTTTGCTGCGGTCAGCAGGTGTTTGGCCAAAGATTTCTTATAGGTTTTTATGGGCATGTCAGTATGGTGTAGGAGCATGGGGAGGGGCTGTAGTGGCAACTTTGTGTCCATGATTTGCCTGATCTTCATTTTTACCATCGCCCAAAAGGGTGCTATGTCTGGGCATGACCACCAGATGTGGAGGGCAGTGCCCATTGCATTCCCACATCTCCAGCACTCATCTTATATGCCTTTGTTGATGCAGTGTAGGACATCGGGAGTTCTATACCAGTGGGATAGTAGTGTTAAGCTAGTTTTCAGGAATTTAGAGCTAATGCAGCATTTATGGGTAAGTATAAAAATATTGTCCCATTCCTGCTCTGTCAGTGTGGTTCCTGTCTCCCTCTCCAATTTAGCTATGTATTTCGGGGCGTATTTGTGTTCCCCATTGGCGAGCATGGTGTATAATACAGAGATCCCCTGACCGTGTGTTGTCTGCCTGTGCATAAAGATTCAAATTGTGTAAGGTCCCTGTGGAGGGGGCTCTTGCAGGGAAAGGCTGCATAGTATGTCTTAAGTCGGTGGTAGCGGTATTTATCCATCCCAATAGGGATGGCTTCAGAAATTATATCCGCCAGGGGTTTAAGTTGGGATCTGTCAACACTGGCGTACGTACAGCCAGTCTGTTTGTGTAAAACGGTGGAGTTCTGCTGGTGTTAGGCTCCCACCAAAGTCAGGGTTATACGTGATTGTCGTCAGGGGGCAAGGTGATGAAGTTAGTTGTGGAAACCTTTGGGAGCACTACACTTGCACGGTGGCATCTATTATTGGGCTGCCAGTTCGTAAGAAGCTAAAGTCCTGTTTCCCAGCCAGAGTAATGAGGGGATTTTACCAGCCGCTTGGACCGTCTCTGCATGAACCCAGAGTTCAGCAGTGTGACGGCCGTGCCAATTGGTGATTCTGAGTAAATGTGCGGCATGGTAGTACCCAGTAATTGACGGGAGTCCTGCGCCCCCTTGGCTCTTTGGCAACTCCAGTTGCGATTTGTTTATACTAGAGGCTCACCTATTCCAGAGGAACCTCCGGATAGTTGTGGACATGGATTGGAAAAATGCTCGGGGGATCGCCACTGGGACTGTCTGGAACAAGTACAGGATGTACAGGAGTATGTTCATTTTCACCGCGTTGATGCGGCTGAACCAGGATATATATATATATATCAATTGCTGTATGGCTGATTGGAAGGCCGCGAGGATGGGGAGAAAGTTCAATTGATTTAGGGAGGATAGCTCCTGCATTAGCCAGATGCCAAGGTATTTGAGCTTCTCCGCACACCAGGAGAAGTAAAACTGCGTGAAGGTGCGTCCCTCTCTCGGTCGGGAGTGTGATGTTAAGTGCCTCCGATTTTTACAAGTTTAGTATAAGGTTGGAGAGTTGGCTGAACTCCCTGAAACTGCGGATCGGAATACTCCTAAACTTTTTTTTAGCTGGCCTCTAGATTCCAAGCAAATTTGTCAAGTACCGTGCTATAGAAACCAGAACCACTATTACAACACTTTTTCTATATTTTATATCCTTTCTAAATAATGTATATCCTTTTAGATTAATAGCCCAATCAAGTGTTTCACCCCACCAATTACCAGTATTTCCAATTATGTCATACTGTTCCTTGTAATATCTCAAGCTCACCCATTTTCCTACACAAACGCATTGTGTTAGCAAGCAGACATTAGTTACAATTTGTTTCTTGAACTTTAGACAGCCACTAGAGGCAGTCTTAAGCCTGCAATATAAACATTGCATGGTTAAAGCGGCACTGTTGTGGCCAGTTTTTTTTTAATCCCCCTCCCGACTCCACTACATCTAATTGTCCCCCTACTCACCCCCAAATGCCCCTAAGCCCCCCATATTACCTATTTTTTTCATCTTTATTTCGTGCCCGGACCTAGGTCCTGGTCCCCGCCATCTTTGTGTGGGTAGATGAAGTCCCTGTGGGACATGTCATCTGCCCACACTAGACAGCGCTGTGAAATTCCCATGCATGCCCATTTAAACACTTGGGCATTCGAACAGGAATTTCATCTATTCATCAGAAAGACTAATAAATGGATAGAAATTTCAAACGAATGAACGAAGACCTCTTCATTTGTTTGTTTGGTTTATTACAAGGAGGGAGCTATGTAAAAATAGAGGCTTCAGGGAGCAGTGCTCCCTGCCACTTCCTAAGCCCCTAATGTCCTCCTTCACTCATGGTGGGGCATCTATTTACTATCAGGCGGGATATAGTGTCCCCCCCAAACCCACAACCCATTGGCCTTTTTTGGGGGCTGAAAAAAGGTTTTAGAAAAAAGAAGAAATCAAATGGTAAATTTTTTTTTCATTTACAGGTATTTAGTTTTATTGTGACCCCTCTCTGTTTTTAGGATGAAGTGGGGGTAGGTAGGGCTTTATTTTTATTTATTTTTTGGTGGGGGTTGACTAGGGGCTTGGAGACCCCTAGTCACCTGGTGGGGGTTTACAATTAGCCCCCACCCACGGGTGGGTGCCAGAGAGGGGAGGACAATAGGTCCCCCCATTGTCATTTAAAGCACCCACCTGCCACCCATTGGTTTCAAGGCTTTGCATAGTGATGCAAACGGAGGCTCCTTGTAAGAACTTCTGGTTTCAGAGAAGGTGGTACCAGGTAAGATTGTCAAATGATCTGACTACTTGCCCTGGGAGGGCGCCAGGGTTTAATGGCATCTATCTTTAAAGGGACACTATAGGCACCCAGACCACTTCAGCTAATTGAAGTGGTCTGGGTGCAATATCCAGAAAAACTGCAATGTTTACATTGCAGCACTAAGTCTGCCTCCAGTGGCTGTCTCCCAGTGCTTCCTAGATTGAAATACTCTCCATGAACCATCCTTTCCTATTGGGAGGTCTAATGTGCAGGACATCAGAGGGGGCGGAGCAGCGCCCCAGCGTCTGAGGGACACTGGCGCTGGGGTAAGGTAAGTAAATAACTGTTTTTAACCCTTAATTTAATGCGGAGGGTGGAGGCAGAGGAAGCAATAGTACCAGGAATACAGCTTTGTATTCCTGCCACTATAGTATCCCTTTAATAAGTTTGTTTGTTGCAGCTTATATGTACAAAACATAGACTATTGTAATTAGGTAAAAAGCTCAAAAACAATGCTGCAAGAAGGTTAAAACATGCAGATCATCTTCTCTGGGAAAAAATAAGGTGGATATTGCAGTTTTATCAAATCTGGACTTTGACAAAGTAATATACATTGCTGGAATATTTTAAGCTCTCTCTGTGACAGAGCTGATGGTATGATCGTTTAGAGACCTTTATAGAGGTGACCCCTTATGAAACTCAATATTACTTGGAAGCTATCCTGAATAGTTTGCTATATTTATTAGCATTGTATAACTTAAGAGACATGAATACGGGAAGAACAAACTTCTATTAGGTCAGTTTATACAGCAAACAATGTAAACCTAGCTCTCTCCTCGACAGGCTTCACATATCTTGATATTAAGAATACACAGCCAAAGGATCAACACTTTTATGTTATAAATCTGCAGGGAGATGTAGGACATGTGTTACCTTGAAATTTATTTTTCAATAATTATTTACTCAGGTTTTGAAAGGAAATATATATATATATATATATATATATTTTTTTTTTATGTAAAAAAAATAAATAAAAACAAAAAGGCTCTCCTTTAGTTCATGACAGGGCCCTACAGTATTTGAAAGACCTCTGTGGTCATTCCTGCACAGAAGCAGGAGGCATATAGCGACAGTCAGTTTTCAAACACTGCCTGACCCAAGATGCATGTATACAGGGCTGGATTTACATAGCAGGAGCCTGCAAGCACAAAATTTTAAGGTGCTCCCTGCTCCCCAACCCCAAAATCAGGCAAAGTATAATTATTAACTAGGCCTAAAAAAAAATAAAAAAATCATATTTGGCTACTGCATATATAAATGTATGTGTGCATATATCTCTGCTTGTAATGTATTGTGCTTGAATCTGTGAATATAGTAAGTATATATAGCTGTGTAAATGCATTCAGGATTAAAGATAATGTTTATAGGTGTTTATAGTAAAGGATTTAAGGTTTGAAGTGTTAATATCAGTTGGATTACATAAAGTGTTTAGTGTAATGAAGATTAAAGGGGCACTATAGGCACGAAGGACATCGGCGCAGGGATCATGTATGTAAAAAAGGGGTTTTGACCCTTTATTAACCAGGGAGGGGGAATACAGATTGTTTTTCTGGCATTATAGTATCCCTTTAACAGGTAGAGAGGGGTTACAGTTGTAATAGGAAGACTTATAATTGGGATCTGGTCTGCCTAGTGCAATACACAGGGATGAGGGAGTCCGACTCAGAGTGAATTGCTCAGTAGTGAACCAGGACAGGGATACACCCAAACCTGTCCAAAGGAGTAAAAGACAGTAATACCTTCAAGGTAGTGTGTTTAGGAGCTGGTTCACTTTAATATGGCTTGGTTGGTAGTATAATAGTTATGTCAATTTCTAAGACAATCAATAGTAGCGGAGAAAGATATGTGTGGTGTGTACACCTTTAAATCTGCTAGAGGCAGATTCTATCTGTTACACACCAAATAATCTGCTTAGATATAAAGCAACTACTTATTACAGAATAACAACAACATGAATAGTTATCTGTACGGTATCGTAATATACACAATGTTATGTGCTGGATATTGCTTTAAATCATCGGGTGGCACAATAAATAGTGCAAAACGGCAATATTCAACTTATACCAAAGAGATATATAAAAAACTTGATCTCTATGTGTAAAATCAAATAAAAATAAATCAGTTTAAAAATTCCAAAAGAACCACTATAAATAAGTATAATAAAATATATATTTATTGATACTTGATAAAAATAGTTTAAAATAATTTAAAGTATAAAATACAGTATGTATGAAAAATGCAAAAATGAGAGCCAGGAACGATCCACAAGTCAATTGTCAGCATGAATAATAATCTTTTGCCCTGATAACCACTGTAACTAATGAGGATTACAGTGAATACTATGTGACAGGACTAGATGACTGTACTTGCCGGCTGCTGCGAGGTTGGCGTGCGTGCCAAACCTCACTTTGATTGTCCGATACCGGCAGTCCGTCGGTCCCCAGATCGTGAAGGCTGGATGAGGAGGGGAGCTGTTCTATCTGCTGACAGTTGGCTGTTCTCCGTATCCTGCTCGCTCTCAAACTGTCGGCTTGTCTTACGCGTTTCGTGGGTGTCAGCCCCACTTCCTCAGAGACATGATAGAATTCTATCTGAACGTGCATCTTATATACAAAACTAATGTGTAACAAATAAAACTATTTTTACATGTGTGGCTTATTGTTACTGTTGGAATTAATCCATGTACATAAAAAACATCGTAAAAACTGATAAATACATTAAGAATGTATACATTGAATAATAGTAAGTTAGTGGTATGGAATTAATAATCTGGTCAAAATTAGATAAAAACAAGTGTTTAAAGGTAAATATACCCTCAGGAATCAATATACCCTTTGGAGATCGCTGTATTAGGATGCTTATAGTAGTGAGAAAATATAAGTATATAAATAAAGAGAGATATAAAGAATGTAAAGTATAAGTTATGCAATTCATAATATATAAAAGATGGCATATAATATAGAATATAGAGTATAGAATATATGTGTATACAAAGAATATAGTTAAGGGATAATGGCATAAGTGCACATAGTTGATTGGATTAAAAAATAATAAGAAATTAAATATAATATGATACATTAGAAGTAAAGTGACTGTGTGCAAAAAGTACATGTATCAATATTTAATGATTTAATAATCAGCCAGGTGTGTGTGAATTTCCCAAAGTAGAAATGGGAACTGAATAGATAGTCTATTATAAAATATGAGATAGAACTATATGTGTGAAATATAGGAATGTGCAATGTGATATACCCATATCATAAAAAGGAGTATCAGTGAGTACAGCATAGAGATCATAAATCCTATTGTGAAAAAAAAAAAAAAAAAAGGGGAATAAAGAGAAAACAAATATAGGAAACAGATAATAATATTTATAAAAAAGCATTCAATTCGAAATCTATATTGAGTCCTTTGGGGACCAGAGTCTCTAGGTGGAAAATCCACCTTGCTTCAATTTGGTCCAAATTCTTTTCTATATTGCCCCCTCTCCAGTGGACATCTACTTGTTCAATAGGTAAAAATTTTAGTCCTGCAGGATCTCCTCCGTGGAAATCTTGAAAATGTCTTGAAAGATTATGGGTTTGAAGTCCCTTTCTAATGTTTCTGATGTGTTCCGCCATCCTTATCTTCAGTGCCCTTTTTGTTCGTCCTATATACTGTTTTGAACACGGGCATGTAATAAGGTAAATTACCCCTTTTGTATCGCAATTCATATTGGTCTTGATGTCAAATTCTTCCATACCATCCATAGATGTGAATCTAGTGATTTCAAAATCTAGAAGGGGATTATTCATGCACGCAACACATTTCCTGCATCGTTTAAAACTTTTAATAGTGGTTTTATCCTGTTGGACATTCTGCTGTTTGAAGGTTGGGGCCAGGAGTAATTGTAGGTTAGGTGCCTTGGTGAAAATGATACGTGGTTGATTCTCCAAAATGCCTGTGAGAGACGAATCACTTGTGAGAATATTCCAATGTTTCTTTAGAATTTTTTCTATAGTGCGGAATTGGTGATTATATTGGGTTATAAATGCTGGTGCTGGTTGGCTCATCTCAGTAGATTTAGCTTCATGTTTATTCTTCAGAGTATCCTGTCTTGGAATGGCTAATGCTCTGTTCTTAGCCTCAATAAGTAGTGTTGAAGGATAACCTTTGTTGGTGAATCTTTGTCGCATTTCTTCCATTTGTTCACCACATATTTGTAAATTCGAACAATTTCTTCTGATCCTTCTAAATTGACTGTATGGGATGTTTTTAAGCCAAGTAGTTTTGTGGTGGCTATTAAAAGGAATAAAACTGTTACAATCTACTTATTTCTTAAAAGTCTTAGTCTGTATTTGATTTCCTTCTATATAGATGTCGAGATCCAAAAATTCAATTTGTTCACATGACTGGTTAAAAGTAAATTTTAAATTATATGGATTGTTATTGAGGTAGGTCTTAAACAGTTCAAGAGAGTCCAAATCACCTTTTCAAATAAAGAAGCAGTCATCTATATATCTCCGCCAAAGGGACAGGTTTGCGCCAAATGGACAATTTGTCCCATATAAATTCTTGCTCCCATTTGCCCATAAATAAGTTCGCATAGCTTGGCGCAAAATGAGTCCCCATGGTGGTTCCTTCAATCTGTAAATAAAACTGTTCATTGCACCAAAAGTAATTGTGAGTGAGGATAAAAGCGATACATTGTATTAGGAAGACTGTTTGGGATTATTAAGTTTGGGTTAAATTTAGAATAGGGTTAAGGTACATGGTTTTCATTTTCAGGTTTAGGCTTTGAGAGCTGGAGTTTGAAGGGTTATTTACAAACTACTCACCCTCCTATGCCATCTGTAGACCAGTCACAATTATGATATGAAAGCTGCAGGAGTGGTTATACATTGTGCATCACCCCAAGCTTTTTACCTGCTCCTCCTGCAAGACATTTCCTGTGTGAGAGGCTGTTAGTGGGCAGGTGGGAAACGGTCCTATTCACACACAGACAGCTGAGATAGCACTGAGCTTTACGCCCTCTATAACTGTTCCTGCAGGTCTGCTATGGAGGCTTACTGGACTACAGAGGACACTGGCCAACACTCCTGGTATATATCTCTCCACACCATCCTATTTAAAGGGACACTATAGTCACCAGAACAAATACAGCTTAGTTGAGTTGTTCTGGTGAATATAGTATGTCCCTGCAGCCTTAACACTATAAACTATGCCTTTTCATAGAAACACCTCCAGTGGCAGTCACTAAGACGGCCATGAGAAGTACTTCCTGGTTCAGTGCTGCATAGTGTGCAGTACTGATGTTCAGCGTCTCCACACTCTGCTTGGAGGTGCTACTCTTTCTCCATAGAGAAGCATTGATTCAATGCATCTCTATGAGAAGATGTTGATTGTAGCAGAGCAGTGTTTTGATGTGCATGCGCAATAGCCTATGGGAAAGCATCTGATTGGCTGAAATCATCAGGTTTGATCTCAGCAAAGGGGGCGCAGCATGGATGGGGTAGCCACGAACAGACCCATGCAGCGCTGGAAAAAGGGGAACGTAAACACGTCTTTTTAACTGGAGGTAAAGGGGGCTGGAAAGTAGGGATCAACCGATATTGATTTTTTAGAGCCGATACCGATAATCTGTTAACTTTCAGGCCGATAGCCGATAACTTGCCGATATTCTGTACATTTACCATTTTGAAAAAATAAACTATTTCTAAAAGGTAAATGCACAAAATATAAAAGCCACATGCACTGGATGCAGTGTGTTTAGACAGTGGAGCTGTGTATATTTGTGTAGTGTATATATAATGAATGCAGGGTGTGTTTGTGTAGTGTGTATAGTTAATGCAGTGACTGTGTAGTGTGTATATAATGAATGCAGAGTGTGTGTTTGTGTAGTGTGTGGTGTATAAAAGGAATGCAGTGTGTGTGTAGTGTGTATAGCGAACGCAGTGTGTGTATAGTGAATGCAGTGTGTTTGTATAGTGTGTGTATATAATGAATACAGTGAGTAGTGTGTGTGTATATAATGTAGTGTTTGTAGTGTGTCTGTGTGTATATATAATGCAGTGTTTGTAGTGTGTGTAGTGTGTGCATTAAACACACACACACTACATTATATAGACACACACACACTAAATTATGTAGACACACTACACTATATACACACTCTGCATTATATACAGAGTGTGTAGTGTGTGTGTATATATAATGCAGTGTGTGTGTTTTCCTGAAGGGATGTGATTTGTGTAAAATGGGGTCGGGGAGGCATTTTTTAATTTTTAATGTTTGTTTTATTTTATTTTTTAATATTTATGTTTATTTTAATTTTTAATATTTGTTTATTTTAATTTTTAATATTGATGGGGTTTTTTTATGCTTATTTTTAATATTTATGTTATTTTTATTATTTTTGTTGTACCCCCTCCCTGCTTGTTACCTGGTCAGGGAGGAGGTATATGACAGTCCCTGGTGGTCCAGTGGCAATGGCTGAGCTGGGGGGGGGGAAAGGGGGGCGCAAGTAGCGTTTACTTACCTCCCCTGCAGCTCCTCCAGCTCCTAGTGTAAATCTCGCGGCCCTTAGTGCCTGACGGCCGCGGGTCTCGCGAGACTTACACTGGGAGCTTGAGGAGCCGCAGGGGAGGTAAGTAAACGCTACCCGCGCCCCCACCCCCCCCACGACCGCCGGGCTTGTAATAAGCCTGGCGGTCCTAGGAGGTATTATCGGCAATATCGGTATCTATATTGGCCAATACCGATATTGCCTTAAATACCGAATATCGGCCGATTATATCGGTAAAACCGATAATCGGTCGATCACTACTGGAAACGCTAAAGCAGTGTTCCCTAACCCAGTCCTCGTGGACCACCAACAGTCCAGGATTTATGTGTGTCCCTGTTCTATTCCAATAGAGATCCTGACAAAATAAAATAGACTGTTGGTGGTCCATGAGGACTGGGTTGGGGAACACTGGGCTAAAGGATATTTTTAGAACTATAGTATCAGGAAAACGTTTGTATTTCTGACATTATAGTGTTCCTTTAAAGGGACACTATAGTCACCCAGACCACTTCAGCTTAATGAAGTGGTCTGGGTGCCAGGTAGAGATGTCGCGAACCGTTCACCACGGACTCATCATTGAGTAAACTTTGACCCTGTACCTCACAGTCAGCAGACACATTCCAGCCAATCAGCAGCAGACCCTCCCTCCCAGACCCTCCCACCTCCTGGACAGCTCTCTAAGAATGCAGCTTCAAAATGGATGCTGTCCAGGAGGTGGGAGGGTCTGGGAGGGAGGTTCTGCTGGAGATTGGCCGGGATGTGTCAGCTGACCGGAGCTCGCCACGAACCGTTCGAGGCGAGCCGTTTGCGGCGAACCGCGGCGAGCCGTTCGCGAACGGTTCACGACATCACTAATGCCAGGTCCCTCAGGTTTTAACCCTTCAGATGCAAACATAGCAGTTTCAGAGAAACTGCTATGTTTACATTTGGGGTTAAGCATACCATATTATGCCTCCATCGCGCAGAGCGTCCATAGGAAAGCATTGAGAAATGCTTTCCTATGGACTCTTTGAATGCACGCACGGCACTTGCCGCGCATGTGCATTCTGCTCCTGTGACGTTGGACGGGGGAGCCAAGGTTGGTGGGGGAGGAGAGGTCACCAGTGCCAAGGGAGCCCGGCGCTGGAATAAGATAAGCTGCTGAGGTTGGGGGCACCCTCAGGGCACTATAGTTTTAGGAAAACCGCTTTGTTTTCCTGCCACTATAGTGATCCTTTAAGATCAAAAAGACACATTGTAAGTGCTGTAGTGGTCAGATGCCTAATGGTAATTCTAGCCCTGCATGTATATGAAGAGTTTTTCACATACACTTCAGTTATAAAAAAAAAAAAATACTGCATTTGGAACGGCATTTAATTATGTATTTTTCCATTTGGGGTATGTCTAAAAAACACTTGCAAAACCTGTATTTCTCTTGTTTGCTGCATTTGCAAACACTCCCCTTCTAACCCCACCCAGACTTTCTGTGGCTGTCCAATTACAGACTTACCAATGCAGCTCAATGAGAAGTCTTTGCAAAGCAGGTGCTCTGGGCAATTGCTGCCTGTTGAGTTTAGCTCCAGTGAGCTAATGAAACCAGGAAGTAGAATGACCTCTTGTTTACGTGAAAGCCAAGGGGGTGTAACCATCTTAAATTACAAAAGTATCAGTTTCTATTGAAGTCTTCACACAGCCTCCAATATAAAAATAAAAAAGGTGAAAAGATACCTGGGAGTCCCTTCTAGGGTGATCTCCCTAATTGCCCCCTGCAGCAGGATTGGTGCAGGGCTCTGACAGCTGCACAGCACCGATCTCTGTGTGCTGCAGCATGAGAGAAGTCCCCCCTTAAAGGACCACTATAGTGCCAGGAAAACGTTTTCCTGGCACTATAGTGCTCTAAAGGGGGGCCCCCACCCTCAGGGTCCCCCTCCCGCCCGGCTCTGGGGAGAGGAAAGGGGTTAAAACTTACCTTTCTCCAGCGCCGGGCGGGGAGCTCTCCACCTCCGATCCTTCTCCTCTCCTCCCTTTCGGCTGAATGCGCACGCACGGCAAGAGCTGCGCGCGCATTCAGCCGGTCTCATAGGAGATCATTTACAATGGAGCTCTCTGTACTGTGTGAGCAAGAGAATTCTACTGCAGATGTCAATACCAACATCAGGAGAGGGATTCCCTTAAAACGCTGGGTTAGATTATTGGGTGGATTGAAGGTTGCATTAAGTGTTGGATTAGGGTAAAAGGTATACATGTGGGACATCACTGTACTCAAGAACAGTAGCAGAATACAAATATATGGGGTGTTTGCAGTAGTGGGACATGCTCAGTCTGTGAATTTCCCCCAAATAAAACGTGTGGGGGAAAAAAAACAAGACTAGTGATGTCCCGAACGGTTCGCCGAACAGTTTCGCGAACGGTTTGCCACGGACTCGTCATTGAGTAAACTTTGACCCTGTACCTCACAGTCAGCAGACACATTCCAGCCAATCAGCAGCAGACCCTCCCTCCCAGACCCTCCCACCTCCTGGACAGCATCCATTTTGAAGCTGCATTCTTAGTGAGCTGTCCAGGAGGTGGGAGGGTCTGGGAGGGAGGGTCTGCTGCTGATTGGCTGGAATGTGTCTGCTGACTGTGAGGTACAGGGTCAAAGTTTACTTAATGATGAGTCCGTGGCGAACCGTTCGGCGAAACGTTCGGGACATCACTAAACAAGACACAAAAAGTTAACTAATTTGACCTACATTTGTGATAAAATGGTTGAATGAAAAGTGTCAAAATACTCCTAATTATATAGTTTGCAGGTGTAGTGTCTATAAATATTAACATTTATGTAACATTCTTGGATTATGTAATCTTAGCATGTAAAATTTTACAAAGTTTTAGCTTTGAAACCGTAATTCACTCTTTTCAATATTTTTTTGTAACTTGCAATATTTGTTTGTTTTTTTTAACTTCTAAAAGTGAATTAATTGGAATTCTACACATATTGGGCATTTGAACAATCAGGACAAACTAGTAAATCTATTTCCAGTTAGTTTTTTTTTTTTTTTGTTTTTGCACTTGGTGTGTAGAAATTATTGTATGTAAAACTGATGGGGAAAAAAACTGTTTGTTCATATTGACTGTGCTGGAATTTCACTGAAATGTCATTTTCCCCAGAACAGCTCTTCCTATGTTGGATCCAGCGGTCTTGCAGAATCCTTCAAAGATCTTAATGCTGTACTCTTGTAAATGCACAGAGTACATTGCTGACGTTCCCTCCAGGCAACTGAAGAGGAACAGATAAAAGAGGATGGTGGCACCTGTGAGGGACCAGTTCAATTAAGTAAATCTCACATTAGGTATTCATAATGGCCGCTCCTGGTGTTAAATACGGTTTTCCATTCGTGGCACTCTTATCCTGACAAGATTATATGCCCCTCTCAAATAGAGAGAAATAACTCTGTGATCAAGTGAATGGGGTAGGCCTCCTTAATAGTAATACAATTGAGATCCCTGTTCTATACAGGGTCTCAACTCGCCACTCTTCTTTTTCACAAAGAAAAATCCAGCCCCGGCAGGAGAGGGGACTTGCAAATAAATCCCCTTGACAAAGCATCGGTAACATACTCCTCCATGGCTTGATTTTCTGCCACAGACAGCGGGTAAATCCAGCCACGAGGTGGAGTGGCATCAGGTTGGATGGTCATAAGGATGGTGTGGCGGCAGAACACTGGCCTGACCCTTGTCAAATACATCTTGGAATTCCTGGTACTCAGCAGGCAACAAAGAGGCAGAAGATGTGCACAAAACTTTGACCGGTTTCCGGGGATAAGTAAATATATATTGCTGGGACCAATATAATATCTCAGATTTGCACTAATTGAATGTGGGGTTATGCCTTTGTAGCCATGGGTATCCCAAAACAACCGGGTAACATGGAGAGGAAATCACCTGGAGTTGGATCATCTCATGCTGTAAAGCCCCTACAGGCAAAGATAAGGGCACGGTCTCGTGGGTTATATGGGTAGCCTGTGGTGGTCTGCCATCGATGGCTTTGAAAGCTAGCGGAGAGGTGTGAGACTATAAGGGTATAGGGTGCTCTGATATAAAGGCACTGTCTATAAACAAGCCTGCAGCCCCAAAATCGAGTAATGCCTGGATATTAACGGATGACTCAGACCAGGAGAGGACAATAGGAACCATGGGTTTGTCTTTATAAATCTCTGGAGATGCAGAAAGGCCACCCAAGGTCTGTCCCTGACATTATCTTAGATGCATGGATTTTCCTGGACGAATTGGGAAAGACTTTATATAGGCACAGGCCTTCCCTCCTTCTAAAAGGCCCTCTCCTCGACAGAGAGGCATGAGAAACCTAACAGCCTCGGCTCCACACCCCAACAGGAAGCATGGGAGTTGAGGGAGGCTTGTGTGGGGAAGAAAAGCTTGGTACCAAATATACAGGAGGCCTCTGCAGGCGCTCACTGAATGAGGATCACTCTCGGAGTCTGATATCAATGAGGATGATATCAGTTCCTCAAGATCTTTGGGTAATTTTCTAGCTGCAATCTCATCCTTTATAGCATTGGAGAGCCCATGTGAAAAGGCAGCCACGAGAGTCCAGCCACCTTCTGCTGCCAGGGTACGGAATTCACTGGCATACTCGACAATCGATCTCGTGCCCTGTGCATTAGATGTTTGTCAGCAAAGGTTGAGCGAGCTGGAATATCAAATACCATTTTAAAGGATGCCACAAATTCAGGGTAACTGTAAATAATGGGTCTCTCTGCCTCCCAGAGAGGATTTGCCCAAGCTAGCGCTTTATCAGACAGCAAAGAAATCATTAACCCAACTTTGCTTCTGTCTGTAGGAAATGCCTGGGGAACTATTTCAAGGTATCCTCTAACCTGGTTTAAAAATCCTCTGCACTACTCTGGTTGGCCCCCAAAATGCTGAAGGAGCCGGATAGGCCCAGTCATTCCTTTAGCCGCAACAGGTTCGAAAGGATACAACTGGAGCTAGAACAGGAAGTGAGGCAGAGGCGGCTGCAATCACAGGCTGACCGCGTGCTGGATCCAGATGTGCAGTACGAATCAGGAGGATCTGCAGTGCATGCACACACTGGTCCAACCGAGTAAATAGGTTAGGTATAAGTGGATTGCCTGTACCATCTTGATGGCCCTTTGCTTAATGTTAGGGACCAGGAACCAGACAGAGCGTGGATGCAAAACACCTTTATTAATAAATAGCAGCAAATGAAATAAACCCAAAAGCAAAGTCCAGGAGGCAAGCAGGGGTCAGGCACCAAAGTGGGTAGTCAGACAAGCCGGAATCGGGAGAACGGTGATCAGAGTCAGGAACCTGGAAGTCTTCTGGAAAACAAGGGCAAGGAGGTACTGGAACTTGCTGCTTAAATAGGCTGCCTTGATTAGCATAAGGGCTTGCTACTAACAACCAGGTGAGTAACCATGGAAACGGTAATGAAGGAGCTGATCATTAAAAAGCAGCTGGATCGCTCGCACAGAGAGAGGAAGGGCTCCTGTTTAACCCCTTCAGACCGGAGGGCGTACTATTACGCCCTATTATAGGCGGCTCTAAACGCCGCCGGGCGTAATAGTACGCCCTCCGGTCTTTCGGTACTTACCCGGTCGCCGGCGGTCCCACGCCGGTGATCGCGGTGGGGGGGACTCCCAGGGAGCCCCCCGCGGCACTTCCGTCCTCCACGAAGCCCCCCCGGCCTTTCGAGGACCCCACAATCACATGGCCGGGGATAGCTGGCTTCTGTATTGCCAGCAGGGGGGCTGCCTGTAATGACAGGTGGTCCCCCTGCTGGCTGAAAATAAAATTAAAACAAATAAATGGTGTAAAAAAAATAATAATATATACTTAGATCATATATATATATTATATAAATATGATCTAAGTATATATATATACACATATACATACACACATGTACACCGTCTAGGTGTATTTTACTATTAATATATATATATATATATATTAATATCAAATTACACGTAGACTGATACTGATTAAATATATAATTATTGTTATATATATATTTATATATAATATAAAAAAATTTAAATGTAAATACGTTAAAAAATAAAATTAAAAAAATAATTAAAAATAAATAATTAAAAAATATATAGATGTGTTATTTCGTTCTAACTGTATTGTGAAATTAATATATATATATATATATCAAAATACACGTAGAACGAAATAATATATATATCTATATACATAAATATATACGTATATATCACTATATATATACACTATATATAAATAAAAATATTTTTTAAAAATTATATAGATATATACATATATATACACATATGTTATATATATATATATATATATATATATAATACACACATATATATTAATTCTACATATATATTTATGTAATATTTTTACATAATTAGGTATCTTAATTAATTACAATTAGCAGGACCTGCCTGACAACCCATGCCGAAAGTAAAGGGAATTTAATTTGCTAGCACTATATTTAACCCTATAACTTTCCGAGACACCATAAAACCTGTACATGGGGGGTACTGTTCTACTCGGGAGACTTCGCTGAACACAAATATTAGTGTTTCAAAACGGTAAAATGTATTACAACGATGATATAAGCTAGTAAAAGTGACGTTTTTGCATTTTCACGCACAAACAGCATTACACAGACAATATTATTGCTGTGATACTTTTTACTGTTTGAAACACAAATATTTGTGTTCAGCGAAGTCTCCTGAGTACAACAGTACCCCTCATGTACAGGTTTTATGGTGTTTTCAAAAGTTACAGCGTCAAATATAAGGCTTGCGTTTCATTTTTTCACATTAAAATTCGCCAGATTGGTTACGTTGCCTTTGAGACCCTATGGTAGCCCAAGAATGAAAATTACCCCTATGATGGCATACCATTTGCAATAGTAGGGCAGGTATTGCAAACAGGGTATGTCCAGCCTTTTTTAGTAGCACTTAGTCACAAACACCCAAAATTACGTTTTGCATTTTCACACACAAACAAATACTAGCGCTAACTTTGGCCAGTGTTTGTGACCAAATGGCTACTAAAAAAACTGGACATACCCCATTTGCAATACAGGTTGTCTACTATTGCAAATGGTATGCCATTATGGTGTTCATTCCTGGGCTACTATACAGTCTCAAAGGCAACGTAACCAATCTGGCTAATTTCAATTTCAAATGTAACGTGCTATATTTGACCCTGTAACTTCCCAAAACGCCATAAAACCTGTACATAGGGGGTACTGTCTTACACGTGAGACTTTGCTGAATACAAATATGTGTATTTTATTGCAGTAAAAGCAAACAGTATTATGACACTTACCGTTAAAATGTCATGTAGAACTAAAAAAATAAAAAATAAATCGTATTTTCTCCCATTTTTTTCATATTAAATTATGTTTCATAGCTAAATATTTGATATTAAATGAAAGCCCTGTTTCCCCTGAATAAAATTATATATAATAAGGGTGGGTGCATTTACTATGAAAGAGGTGTTTTACGGTTGGACAGACATGTAGCGCAAATGCCAGGTTTTGTTTACATTTTGTTTTGTTCACAACGTGTACATTTGGCTCCGTCCTTAAGGGGTTAAAACAGCACAGAAACCCTGACACTACCATAAACAGGGTAAGCCTTTTTGTGATGCTACAGGTTCTTGTGATAATTCTGTGTTAACTACGTTCCTTCAACAGTTTTATTATTCTTTTTTTCTTTTATTTACTTAAGTATGTTTAGTCTGATGTCATTTTCCTTTTCTTTAATTTAAAATGAAGAGTAATAACTTAGTGTATACCAGAAATCATCTCATTATCACTGATTCATATGCTGCTGTATTATATTCTGTTCTGCATTATTTTTGTACTGTTTTCTTACATATCTGAGAACCTATATTTTGATGTCCTGCAATAGCTCTGTTATACTTTTAAAATGTGCCGTACCAGTACTTCAAATAAAAAATAGATTGACAAAATAAATTGTTGTAGTGTCTAGAAACCATTAGTAACTAAAGGGACACTACAGGGAGTGCAGAATTATTAGGCAAATTAGTATTTTGACCACATCATCCTCTTTATGCATGTTGTCTTACTCCAAGCTGTATAGGCTCGAAAGCCTACTACCAATTAAGCATATTAGGTGATGTGCATCTCTGCAATGAGAAGGGGTGTGGTCTAATGACATCAACACCCTATATCAGGTGTGCATAATTATTAGGCAACTTCCTTTCCTTTGGCAAAATGGGTCAAAAGAAGGACTTGACAGGCTCAGAAAAGTCAAAATAGTGAGATATCTTGCAGAGGGATGCAGCACTCTTAAAATTGCAAAGCTTCTGAAGCGTGATCATCGAACAATCAAGCGTTTCATTCAAAATAGTCAACAGGGTCGCAAGAAGCGTGTGGAAAAACCAAGGCGCAAAATAACTGCCCATGAACTGAGAAAAGTCAAGCGTGCAGCTGCCACGATGCCACTTGCCACCAGTTTGGCCATATTTCAGAGCTGCAACATCACTGGAGTGCCCAAAAGCACAAGGTGTGCAATACTCAGAGACATGGCCAAGGTAAGAAAGGCTGAAAGACGACCACCACTGAACAAGACACACAAGCTGAAACGTCAAGACTGGGCCAAGAAATATCTCAAGACTGATTTTTCTAAGGTTTTATGGACTGATGAAATGAGAGTGAGTCTTGATGGGCCAGATGGATGGGCCCGTGGCTGGATTGGTAAAGGGCAGAGAGCTCCAGTCCGACTCAGACGCCAGCAAGGTGGAGGTGGAGTACTGGTTTGGGCTGGTATCATCAAAGATGAGCTTGTGGGGCCTTTTCGGTTGAGGATGGAGTCAAGCTCAACTCCCAGTCCTACTGCCAGTTCCTGGAAGACACCTTCTTCAAGCAGTGGTACAGGAAGAAGTCTGCATCCTTCAAGAAAACATGATTTTCATGCAGGACAATGCTCCATCACACGCGTCCAAGTACTCCACAGCGTGGCTGGCAAGAAAGGGTATAAAAGAAGAAAATCTAATGACATGGCCTCCTTGTTCACCTGATCTGAACCCCATTGAGAACCTGTGGTCCATCATCAAATGTGAGATTTACAAGGAGGGAAAACAGTACACCTCTCTGAACAGTGTCTGGGAGGCTGTGGTTGCTGCTGCATGCAATGTTGATGGTGAACAGATCAAAACACTGACAGAATCCATGGATGGCAGGCTTTTGAGTGTCCTTGCAAAGAAAGGTGGCTATATTGGTCACTGATTTGTTTTTGTTTTGTTTTTGAATGTCAGAAATGTATATTTGTGAATGTTGAGATGTTATATTGGTTTCACTGGTAATAATAAATAATTGAAATGGGTATATATTTGTTTTTTGTTAAGTTGCCTAATAATTATGCACAGTAATAGTCACCTGCACACACAGATATCCCCCTAACATAGCTATAACTAAAAACAAACTAAAAACTACTTCCAAAAATATTCAGCTTTGATATTAATGAGTTTTTTGGGTTCATTGAGAACATGGTTGTTGTTCAATAATAAAATTAATCCTCAAAAATACAACTTGCCTAATAATTCTGCACTCCCTGTATAGTCACCAGAACAGCTACAGCTTATTGAATTTGTTCTGGTGAGTGGATTCATTCCCTTCAGGCTTTTTGCAGTAAACACTGTCTTTTCAGAGAAAATGCAGTGTTTACATTACAGCCTAGTGAAAACTTCACTCACTCCTCAGATGCCCGCTAGAGATGTTTCTTTCCACAGTGAGCAGCACTGGCATTCAGTGTCTCCACTTTCTGCATGGAGACACTAAACTTTCCTCATAGAGATGCAATGATTTAGTGTATCTCTATGAGGAGATGCTGATTGACCAGGGCTTTGTTTGACTTGTGCTGGCTCTGCCCCTGATCTGCCTCCTAGACAGTCTTAGCGAATCCAATGCTTTCCGAGGGGAAATCATTGTGATTGGCTTTGAGCAACACTTCTGATGATGTCCGGCAAGCAGGCAGATCAGGGGCAGAGCAGACTGAAATAAAGGTAAGATATTTACCATATTTAGGGGGGCAAAGGGGACTAGATGGTGTTTTTAACACTATAGGGTCAGGAATACATGTGTTCTTGACCCTATAGTGTTCCTTTAATGAAAGCAAAATCTGGTAACAAATGAGGCAACACTTAATCTATATGTCAATGTACAAATAAAAAGACTTGATGAAAACCTAATGGAGTTAAACGGTTTCCAAGTAATTCTTATTGTTTGATTAATAAAACTAAGCAAATGATTATACAGAATTTCTGAATTATCTTTTTAATCTGTAAACAAAAACACACACAGAATATGAAATATTGCATAATAAAATATATTTATTTTCCTTTTTAGTTTCTAAGATTTTCACATAGCAGAGAGTCCCTGGGTTGGTGGTGGTTTTAGAAGTCGATTAGAAATCAGTCAAGTAAAAATATACAGACAAACGTGTTATTATACATAAATTAGTTAATGATCAGCCCATCTTAGTAAACACATCTTCTGAATGGTAAGAAAACAAATTATTTGAATCTAGAGACAGGCTCCAGCCCCTGTTGTAAGTATTTAAAATGAATTTAAAAAAAACATTTTTATTAATTAAATAACTGATTTTGAAAAAAAAAAAAAGGGGCTCAATTGCATTTTTTTAAATCTGGTTATATGGACCGAAATAGATAAGGTTGACTCCCCACAATTTACTGCTTAGGAAATAAACCTCTTAATAAATTGCATCACTGCAGGAATAAATACATTGCAGTAGATTGCATAATCCCTGCTTTTGACGTGCTCTATGAAGCTGCACTATGTCGCATTCCGAAGTGGAGAGAAAATTGCTCCTGCTGAGTGACATTGAGCTATCTAATAGCTCTCAACCATGTCAATGCGTTTTTTTCTGTACCTGTTTTATACTGATGGTTATTCGGTTATACAGAAGATGTTTTGAGATCTTCTCTGAAGTTGAAAATTTGTAAAAAATTTCTAAAGTTTGTTATAGTGGCACAACTTATATTTTGCTATTTGGTTTATTGATTCTTTGTGATAAAGTTCTAAGGGTTACTTTGCTAGTTAAGTTCTGCTTCCTATTTATAACAGCGCTGATTCTTTTCACCTTTTAATTTAGTGAATTCCACTTCATTGTAACATATTTACAATTCATGTGGTACTCTAAAACTGTAGAATTAATTTACATAAATATTTTTAAATCTCACACTGAACTGTCTAAATATAAAAACAGTTTGTTATGTTTTGTATTCACGTTCTATCATATTTGACTTTCGATCCGGCTGCATGGGAATGTCCCATTTAGTCAATAAATACTTGTAGAAGAATTCACAGAGTGATGTAGGTTAACCTTGACACTGCAAAAGTGTCGGATTCATTTAGGGTTGAGAATTATGGGAAATCTAATTTACGAGCCTCTACAATGCCAAAACTAGTCTAATGAAGGTATAGTCCAGGAATCTTAAACTCCGACCCCAAATGTTTATGGCCTATCAGTCCCAGAATTCTTTGTATGCAAGTGATAACCAATGAATCAAGGGAGTTGTAGTGCAGCGGCAGCTGGCAAGCACGTGTTTGATATGCTTAGTGTCAGTTGCATTGCCATTTGTTCCCCACATTAAATATGAAAACATAATTTTCTCTATACTATAAGTTACTGAAAAACACAATTCATAACACACTTTAAATAACAAAAATAAATGTAAAAATATTTATGCAAAGAAACACAAAGAACCCACATCATTTTAAAGGGACACTCCAAACTGGGCAAATTCTACAGATATTTACACTAAAGCTAGGTGAGTTATCCTTAGTTACTTTAATACCTTCCCTGCTAAACACTATGCATGAGCTGACAGTTTTGAAAAGAAATTAAAAAGTTAAGGGGAGGATAAATGAGCTTTATGGGCTACATTTTCAATGAAGCAATTTTTTTCACTTGGCTCCATTTTATTTGTCTGCCTCTACTCTTTTCTTACCCTAGCAACCTTTGTAAGGCAAACTTCACGGTTATATCCCGACAATCAGGAATGAGGAGCCAGGAGCGACTCTGAGAAAAACAGACAGTACATGGATTTATTTCCTGGGTGCTATTGCTCTGAATTGTACAGATAACAAAATGGATGTGTCTCAACTACAGCCTGGAGTATCCCTTTAACAAAGCTGTTGAAGGGCATATTACTTTGATAAGAAGATCGATGATCTCTTAATTGCAACCACCCATGTAACGGAATGAGTTGGTCTCAGAAATGTTGTATAGTAAATTGTGCATTTGCTTTGCTCTCCTGGCTTCCACTAAAAGCCTTCTAGATCGCTCTTTAGCCTCCTGATGCTCAATGCGTTTCTGTACTCTCTTTTGTCTTAACCACCTAAACACAGAAAAAACAATTGTAAAACAATCAGTATCTTGTTAAAAACACACAGGAAGCATGTAATCTATGTATCAAATCTAATAATAATTTTATTGCAAAGTAAAGTTCATACGGCAGTGTGCTACTAACCAGGGCATACGCTGTCCAGAAATGACCATGGCACAGCTTGCTCTAGCAAATCTGTACTCACAGCATTTACAAAGCAGAGTTGCATTCTCAAACATGAGAGACAAATGTGTGCGCTAAAGACTCTTCTGTGCGTAATGAGGTCATGTAGTAGAAGATTCAAGAGTGAATGTACACTAGATGGGGATCTGAAGACAAGCTAACAGATAAATTATCTATTGTTCTCTACGTGACTCCAATTGCACATTTCTACAACCACAATTCACTCCTACTCCGACCATCCACTCGTTCCCGACTCCTAGTTCATACTTCCCGCTACAAATCATTTATTATTATTATTTATAAAGTGCCAACAAATTCTGTAGAGCTGTACAATGGGTGGATTAACAGACACATATTTGGATACACAGGAACAGAGGGATTAAGGGCCCTGCTCAATGAGCTTACATGCTAGAGTGAGTGGGGTAATGTGACACAAAGGCTAAGGGTAGGGTAGAAAAGTAGGTTGCTAGTATAGTGTTCATTAGGGCTTAGTGTTTTGTTTTGATGACAGTGTCAGGGTGCAGGGAGGGAAAGCTGTTCACAGTTTTATTGATATGCTTTCCTAAAGAAGTAAGTTTTCAAAGATTTTTTTTTTTGAAGAGTAGAGATTGTGTGAAAGTCTAACAGAGAGGGGAAGGCCGTTCTATAGAAATGGTGCAGCCTTAGTGAAGTCTTTTAGGCGAGCATGAGAGGTAGTCAACATAAAAATTTCAAAAAATGAAAATAGATCAGCAGCACTGAAAATGTTTATAATGACAAGCTGAAATGAGTCCATAGAGTAATTTTATTTAGAAAGATTTCAGTTTAGGGCTAAAAAAATAAATAAAAAAAATAAAAAATCAAACCTTAAGATTAGACCAAGCATCACTGTTTTTAATTGCAATGTTTTATAACAGAATTACAAAGGTGTTGAGCTCTGTTGAATGCAACATTTCAGCATCACTCAGATTAAAACGTGCTAGTTCACTGGGGACATTTTAAATGCATAGTCTTTAAATCTGTCCACAGCCAATCATCTTCTTGCCCCTTCATCCAGCCAAAACCACTTGCCCAGCATAAACTACTATTCTGTCCTGTAACTCTTCTTACACACGAGCCACTAGGTTAATAGAGACACATTTCTAAAATTTAAAAACTATACATCTGTTATTTTCATGACCTAATGAACCCCCATCCATCTCAATTCAAAACTGGAATGTACACCGTGAGATATAGGATGAAACCAAGAGATTGCTATGATAAGATAATCAGGGTGAGTGACATTGGACATTGGATGTTCTATGTTAGATATAGATTCCAAGCTTGTTACTTACGTTGTGAATGCTCTCTCACAGTCCCCTCTGTCGTTAAGGTAAAAAGCTGCTTCTTGTTTCTTTAGATCCTCAATCTTCCTTTCTTTTAGATGTTCTTGATGCTTTTTCTTAAGCCACCTGTTAAATGCTTCCTCGGGATCTCTCTCTTCATCCTTTAAAAGAATTTTAAAAATGAATAAAATGTTTTAGCCGTGTACACACTGTTTACAGGATGGAATTCTTGCCAGTGCATGATAGGATATGTGAACTTGTTCATATAAAAAACATTAATATCTCCTATTTAATTCAAGTCAAAAGTGTTTGTTTTTTTCAAATCCTCTCAATGGGAGTTAATACAACTTACATTATGTTTAAAAAAATGTTTATTGGAGGCAGATGATTCTTTAGATTATGTGCAGTGTATAAACACAAAGAAATGAGAAATAAGATGTATTTTAATGAAACTACCACATCACAAAGAAACAGTTCTTAGAGTTCCCTGGTTTAAATACAATCCTTGTCACATGGCAGGCTTTTAAAGCATACTGACAGACAGAGGATATTACCCTTCGTCTGTTGATATCTATATTGTCCAGTGTTCCAGCCCTTTAATGTTAACAATTGCGACAAGTACTGTGGGTTAAGAATTGAGGACTTGGTTGCCAATGCTATGTTAGGGAGGAAGACGGCACTTGGGTTATCTTTCAAGAAAATGACAGCATTTCTCTTTCCTATAGATTCAAAAATGTTACCAATGATGGACATACTCTCATCTTTGTGTGTGCCCTACTTGCTCAGTCTCACCACACCAGCATTGGTTGAATCCCATGGTTAACCTTTCTTTCAGGCCTGCTCTTTGGTATTCCTGATGCTGAACTTTGTTGTCCCACATATAATTT